TTTGGTAACTTACTTCTAGTTGAGCATGTTTGGTGTTGGACTTCAAACATTTGGTTGTAGATGTTTTCAATAACTTGCTCTTAACAATTGAAGTCGCGTTTCACTGATATCCTGGGGGCCAATTTTTGACCATTCGTAACTATAGAAAGTCTACGTAAATGTACGAATATTATGAAATCCCATTTCTGAGTATTTGCATCTTTGCGTATGCGCACATTTTTCTACGTTTTTCTGCGAGCGGTGAGAGACTCGCCGATGTGTTGCGTATACGCTGACGTACCGACGTACCTACATTTGTGGTTATATCGACCTTTATTATTTTATTTCGTCTGTCTATTTGTTCAGTATTTGTGTGCGAACTTTGTGTGGCACTTTTGGGTTCTTATCGTGAATAACCATTGAAAATGGAAGAACTAATAAATATGTTCGCAATACGAAATATAGAAATTGCAGAGCAAAAAAATCGACCAAACAACCAGCATAATCGTCGAGATCCCTTCATAGAGCTTAACCATCAACAATTTATTAAGTTGTTTTGATTAACAAAAGATCTTGTTTTACATTTGATCGAATGTTTGGGAACCTTACATCCTTCCGGCACTCGGCACTGCGAATTACGGACTTCATTTTATAACTTTGCGCTTGTTTACCGCTAATTAGTTGCATTTTCCTTTTCACATAGTCCATGAACAATTTTTTCTGCTTATCTGATGCATTTGCACTCCGTTTCTTCTTGTTTTACGAAATTTTTTTCATAAAGTAAAAATTTGTCAAAAGTCGACAGTTTACACAACCTATTTTTTTCCCCTATTAGTAATACAAAAATCTCTCAATTTGCAGTGTTGCCTGATCACCCTTGCGTATTGCTGCGAATGCTTAACTCAGACGTTTTTTGACTTGCGCACGTCATCCAAAAATTGGTACAAAGAAAAGTGAACGTTTCATATCGTGCGCATCTTTAAGAATACGCAAATAAACGTGCATTCCCAAAAATTGGACTCGGCAACAAATCATGGTTTGATTATTTCTTTTTGGTAATTGCTGTCCCCCGGGGAAGCCGTACGTCATAATAGGTTAGGATCTCATTTGTTACACGATTATACTATTAAAGGTAAGTGTAGCAGTGGGGCACTACCGAATACCGGCGAGAAATGGTTGAATTATGATTTGCTGTTGGGTGTCAGCTGCACAACGTGGTTTCGAGTGAATTCAGCCTAATGGGGCTACCTTATAATTTAGATGTTCGAAAACTTTGAAGGGTCATAACTTTTTTCTATTATAGATAGAAAGCTGAAATTTTCAGCGATTCTGGCGGACTACAATTTCTGAAAATTTCAGCTCATTTGGAGCTTATAAGGAAATAAAATCGTGTTAAGCAATTTGGGATGATTTATCAATTTTTCAGTTTTTCTGAGTGCTGTTTTTCATAGAATCCGGCTCCAAATCTCGGGATAATTTAGTGTATGGAGTTTGAGGGATCCCAAAGGACCATTAGGACACAAAGTCTCAACAAAAAAAATTGAAATTTCATCGTTTTAGCGTTTTAGTAAGAAGGTATCTACCTATTGATTTGAATTTTGGAAAACTTTGAAAGGTCATAACTTTTTTTCTATTAGAGATATAAAGCTGAAATTTTCAGCGATTCTTATCCCATAGAGGACTACAATCTCTGAAGGTAGCTACCTTATGATTTAGATTTTGGAAAACTGAAAGGTCATAACTTTTTTTCTATTATACATCGAAAGCTGAACTTTTCAGCGATTCTTATCCCCAATAGAGGATTATACAATCCCTGAAAATTTCAACTCATTTGGACTTATAGTTCCAGAAATAAAATCGTGTTAAGCAATTTGGGGTGATTTATCAATTTTTCAGTTTTTTTGAGTGCCATTTTTCATAGAATCCAGCTATTTAATTTCTTGAAACAGTTATTAGTTAGTGTTAAAATCTGTAAATATATTCCTATTCAATCAGTTCTTTTTTTGTGTCCTCCTACAACTCCTTCACCAAAAAAAAAACCCTGCTCCCATCCCATTATATGCCATTGTTTTACATTTGTAACCGTGCCTCTTAAAACAATAATTTCCTTCTATATATCCGTTGTATTATTGAAAGCCATCAACAATGGATTTTCTATGCAAATGTAATCGGCATATCCCTTGTGGACGCCCAAAGAATTTCAATTAGGAACGTAAGCTATTTATAAGAAGACGTGTGCGCTCGAGAGTGTTTTATTGTTGAATAACGGCCAAAGAAACAAAACCTAGAAGTGCAATTCTTGGCATTGGTTCAAAATGTTTTTCGTTTTTCAATATTACAAAATATTTATGGTGCAACCAGGAGTAGAGAAAGTTGGCTATAGCAACCTCGAATAAAATGAAAACTGAAATAAGATAATGAGTTTCTGTTCGGAGTAAAATTGCAAAGATTTTTTGCACATTCAGGTAGATAAAGGTAGCGCTTGGGCTACGATTGAATTACATATGTATAGGCTGTTGTCTGTCAAGTCCAAGATAAGTGGACACTTAACGCATACTATGTTACTACTGTACTTCTCCCTTAAATAGAGAAAAAATTAAATGGCTACACGTTGACCATGCAATAGATTTATGTCGCTTTCTATTCCAGGCTTTTAAATTCTCTTTATTCTTCTATTTGAATTTTTCTTTAACAAAATCAAATCTGAAAGAGACAAAAATTGCGACAAAGAAGTTTTTAATGTGTGAAATTACATAATGGACACACAAAAATTAAATAAAAAGTGCTCAATTTAAAAAAGAAAATGCATCTTTTGAATAAGCTAGCAGTTTCTCCATACCGTGGGTATGTTACACCAGCCCGTCCCAGTAGTTTCATCAAAGCAGGCCTGTATAAGTGTTAAAATTCCCAATTATCTACCTTATCATTACCGCAGTGACTTCAATAAAGCTCGTTAGAAACATCATTTGCACTGTTTCATTGCACGTTTTTATGTTCTCACAGTAACAAGATATACAGAGTAATTTTTTTAAAAGAAATCCCATGCGTGAAAAAACAAGTTTTAGTTTATTTTCGAAGATTTTTTTCGGCAAACTTTGTCAGTTTATGTAGGGACTATCTTGAACTTGAAATATTTTCCATCTTGCACTAAATGTTTTCCTCCAAACATAAAAAAAAAACTTCCCAGCATGTAAACCATTGTGCATAACAAAACAGTTAACTTTTTTCCTATGCATTGTTAGTCGGATTCATGGGAAAATCTTAACCCATTTTTCATGCTCCATTTTAGAGGCGCTCCTCTTCCACCTTTTTATCTCGCACTGGTAATCTAAAAAGAAGGAAAAATAGTATAATTATTACCCGCCCCCTTCGGTAATTATCCGAGTGCCTCGTTTCCTTTGAACAAACAAAGCGATGTTTGTTAGTTTGTGAATCGAAAACAATGGTGTCGTTTTTCTTTTGAAAATATGTTTGAGGCGCATTTTTTATTTAAAAATCTACGCCGTTAGGAAGGAAATGTATGCCTATTATAAATTGTAGGACATTCATTAGAGAATTAGATAAAAGTACAAGGAAGTACCTATTGCAAATGCATTGTTATGTTCTAAAAAACTTGATTACGTGCTAGTGATACAAACAAAATGCAGAATTTGTTATAAAGAAACCAATTTGAATATTTTTTCTTGGAAATTATTTGTTTAAAAGTTCGTTCCGAGTAAAATAATGTATATTTTCATTTCAAAAGGGTATAAAATAAGGTAAACTGACTAAGATGAAATTTTTTCAATAAATAATTTAGCAAAATAATCAATCTGAATTGTGTACGCCGAAAACCATTTATGTAAATGTTTGTTCACCTCAAATGTATTGCAGGATAAATAATTTACTTTAAAGTGGTATATTTTAGCAACAATTCCAAATGTGAATATTAGAGAATGCTGCCTTGCCAGAAATTGTATTAATTGGTCTTAAAATCCCTTAACACTGAGAAAAGTTTTCCCCACATTACATTCTAAACCCCTAAATTCAATTTCTGTTTTGTTTCCGAAGCTATAAATACTCCTTTTAGTGGTCTGGTCTTGGCTTTTGCACATTCACAAAACAATTCGACATCACTAATGGCCTTAGAGCTGCTTTATTAATAGCAACCAGTTCTTTGCTGTTGTAAAACGCCCCAATACTTATTTTTCCTGATTTAAAAGGAGTTTCGATTTCGGATAAAATATATGAGGTCATTCACATGGAGTGACCCAAAAAGCCTAGAATAGTCTAGAGTGGTTCCTATAAATTTATTTGAGTACATAATCCAAAATTAATATTTGTTTGTATACCATTTACTTGCATCATTTTTTTTTATTTATAAAAGCATTAAACTACAGTTTATTACACAAAATTAAATTTCGTAATACACATTCTTGTTTGTTTTCCCTCTAAAGGCCTAAAGTGCACCAATAGGAAAAACAAATATTTATCTAAATTTTTAGATTACCTGGCTTGGGATGTGATAAAGTTCTTTCGGGTTCGAGTTTATATGAATATGTTACCCAATTCCTTAATTCTCAATTTATGTAATCTTTAAAAACTCACATATTAAATAAATTGAACTTCCTAAGAATTAAGGCAAAATGTTTCAAAATTTTCTCAGAAAAAATACTTAATTAAAATATCTAAATCAATATTGCCAAATGAGTTTCCATCAAGGGCAACATGGTAAATGAATAACCATCACATTTCCAGTATTTTCCAGCTTGCCACAAAACAAATGTCCAGCGATAATTTACGGTTATTTGATTCAATTTTGCTTATTTACATCATGCTACTGTTTAGCCCAATCGAGGATCCTTTAATAAAACGTATCCAATTTATATAGATTTTTTCTAATAAGAGTAGTACTTAAATGACTGATAAATCATATTTATTGGATAATTTGAAAATTTTATATTTTGCTAATTACTATACGTACACCTACAATTATGACATAATTTTCTAGTCAATTAATTTAATTGATTTTCCTTTTTCAGATCTCTCAAAAAACCGTTTCAGCGAGTTGCCCGAAGAAATATCCGACTTCCATTTTTTAGAACGGCTGCAGTGCTACCACAACGCGATCCGATTCATTCCTGACTCCATCAGTAGCTTACAATGTCTGAGTTTCTTGGACCTCAGCCGGAACCAATTAACTGCCTTACCGAGAGAAATATGTTTATTACCGATACAGGTAAGAAGATTTTATATTCGAATAACATTTATTAACAGTTCCAAAGTTAGTATTATACCATTGCTTTTTTCTCAAATTAATTATCAAATCATATATCAACCAAGGACTGCAAAATAAACATTCTGATGTAAAGTTCATTGACAGATTACAAAATAACTACATAGTAAGCACAACTATACTAAAAGCGTTACCTGCTAGGAGAATCACCAGTCGTAGCATGTGTGGTGCTTTCCTATATTGTATCAAAAAAATTTAGAAGCTTCGTGTCCAAATCACCACCATCATTTGCCATCTTTTTTAAACTATTTTTCATTGTTTGAACATATCGTTCTGCTTGTCCATTTGTAGCTGGATGGTAGGGAGCGGAAAAAGTATGTTTTATTCCATTGCTGGAATTTTCAAATTCTTGGGAACGAAAAGTTGGACCATTATCACTTACTAGAGTAATTGGTATTCCGAATCTAGCAAAAATATGTATATTGCAATTGTTTTGGTTGATGTAATAGAATTCATTCGAACTATTTCCGGCCATTTTGAAAATGCATCGACCAGTATTGGAAAGTATTTTCCCATAAATGGACCAGCGAAATCAACATGTAAACATTGACAAGGGCTTTTGGGAATTTCCCAATGATGAATTGAAACCTTGGCAGGCTGATTAAGAAAAGACTGACCTTTTCTACATTTTCTTGATAAATGCTCAATCCTCATCGATGAGAGGCCACCAAACATATAAACGTGCCAAAGCTTTCATTTTCACTATACCAGTCTGGGCTTCATGTAATTCTTGTAAAATTTTATTTACTAAGCTAGTAGGAACTACTACTCTTAAACCTTTTAAAATAACCCTTTCACTTAGAGATAATAATTCTGTATCTATTTCAATAAATCCTGATTCCAAAATTTTTGGTCCCCGCTGCAAACAGTCATAGACATTTTTCAAAACAGGATCTTCTTTTGTTTTTTTCACTATTTCTGATGAGAATTTGTTGTAATTGATAACATGCAACTGCATCAGAAAAAATATTGGTATCTGAAGTAATGGGTTGAGATAATCTGGATAATGCATCGGCATTGGCATGCTTTTCTGTTGAACTATAAATAATTGAAACCTTGTAAGAAATTAGCATAATATAACATTCTGGTAGCCACCATACTAGGTAAATTTTTAGAAGGGTGAAAAATTGATACTAAGGATTGATGATCAGTGATTAATTTGAACTTTCGACCATAAAATTTATTGCAACCCCAGAAAATTCCTGTAGCTTCTTTGTCAATCTGACTGTAATTTTTCTCAGCACGAGTTAAAGCTTGAGATGCAAAAGCAATAAGCTTTTCACTACCATCAGGAAACGTATGTGATAAAACAGCTCCTAAACACTACGGACCAGCATCTGTAGCTAACAGTAAAGGTAGATCAGGATCGTAAGCACAAAAGATTTGGTCGGAGGTAACTTCTTCTTCAATTAAGTTGAATGCATCTTCACAACAGGCAGTAAAGAGGGTGTAATTTAGAAGCAATATTTTTAAGAAATCTTCCGTAGTAATTAACCATCCCCAACCAGCTTTTCAGTTCTGAAACATTTTTGGGCGTTGGTGCATTTCGTACTGCTTTGACTTAATCTTCTATCTTCCCTAAACCATTCATAGAAATTTTATGCCGTTTATGGAGTTTTAAAAAAATTGACACTTTTCTTTTTCAATGCGAAGGCCGTCATTTTGTAAGACATGTAAAACCATACATACGGACTCTACTCAAGTTTTCTTGAAGATCTTTTCCTTGTCATCTAGAAATACACAAACTCCAGGAATGTCAGAAAGCAGTTTTGTTATATATCGCTGCCAAATAGCGGGAGTTACTTTTGTACCAAACATCAGTCTATTCACCATAATAGACTTCCTTTTCTGTAGATATTGGTTGTAATTTAGAACTCTCTTCTACCATAGGCATATGTAGGTAAGTTATGTGAATTTCTAAAGTTGGAAAAATTTTACCTCCGTACATAGTGGTTGCGGATATGTCCTCAATATTAGGAATAGGATATTTATCATCTTTCAATACTTTGTTTAGTGTAATTTTATAATTAGCACTATACAATGTTAGCACATAGTCTTATCGAACCATCATTTTTAACTATTGGTACCACAGAGGTGCCCCATTCATCATATTCCATTTTGGACAAAATTCCGACTTTCTCTACTAATCTATCTATTTCTTCAACCCTCTAGCTAGGGGGGGAAAAACCCTCCAAATTTGAATAGGGGATAGGGGGCGTATTATACCTGTTTTTAAAGGTCTCATCGAGTTCTTCATTGCTCTAGAACTTAGTCTTATTATTTTTATCCGTAACGAACGACAGTTGACAAAATCTTGGAAATATTATGGACTATTGTTTTAGTACTAGTAAAAGCGGTACTTACCTCCCTTAATAAAAATACTTACAATTTACAATCCATTTATACATCGTATTGTCAACTACTTAAATAAATACCACTCTGTACATCAATTTTACTAAAGTGTGTCGACGAGTCAGCATTTATTTGGTATAAATACCGCGCCGATATCCATTACCGGCAGACTAAGGCTAGTGCAAAGTACCTCTAACGGGAAAAGGCCCTCTAGCTAAGTCTCCTCCCAGTGCAAACTACCTATAATGGAAAACGCCCTTCTGGGAGTATTGAACGCAGCAGACTAGGTCCAGTGCAAACTACCTTTAATGGGAAACGCCCTTCTGGACCTGTGTCAAACTCAGCTTCAGTCTTCAGTCACGCCAAGTGTACAGAGGGTACATAATACAGAGTGGCCTATAAGTAGTACATCTCTTCGTAGAAGAGACGTCATGATTTTATTTCTAGGGTTATTCTAATAGGTATTTATACCAAAAAAATGCTAACTCGTCGACACACTTTAGTAAAATTGATGTACAGAGTGGTATTTACTCAAGTAGGTGACAGTATAAATAATAACAATAATAATGAACTTCAAGTATTTTTATTTAGAGAAGTAAGTATCCTCTTTTACTCGCACTAAAACAATAGTCTATTTTCAAGATTTTGACAAGCTGTTATTTTGTTACGGATAAAAATAATAGGATGAAATTCTAGGGTCATAAAGAACTCGATCAGACCTTTAAAAAGAGGTATGACACGATTCCTATCCCCTATTCAAATTTGGGGGGTTGTTCTTCCTCTAGCTAGAGGGTTGAAGTTACGGGGATGAAAAATTGTTCCCCTTCAAATCAAAAATCAACGTTTCCAAGCCTTTTTCCAGATTTTTATTCCAAATCTAATCGGGGTGGACTGGTTTCCCTGGGACACCCTGTATATGCCTTTTTCAGATCTACCCATAATTTGTGAACCACCACTCTGGAAAGGTTTTTTAGCCACGATTTCAATTTGTTTTTGAATGTATATGGTCCGTTAATTTGTCTTATATGGTGGAACGTAAATATACAGGGTGTCCCACTAAGGTCGGCCAAGTACGATATTATGGAGACCATAGACCTTACGTAACTTGAAAACGAATGCAGATATTGAATTGCGGTTTGCGCCAAAATGTAGATATTTTTTTGCTCTTCAAGCATAGCAATACAAAAATAATATTATGCCATTTGGATTTTTCATGAAAATTAGAAAAAAAGTGGATCTTGAATAAATAGCGCCCTCTAGAAGACGCGGTGGGAACTATCGACCTCGAACGAAGTGGTGTTCTTAATAACAATAAAATACTCTTCCAAATGAACCCAAATTGAATGAGTTTGAATGAGGGGTATGGAAGATACAGCAATTTCTAAAAAATCTAAAAATTTTCACCAGCTTACCCACCCTTATTACTGAAGATACGAAAAAAAACCTAATAACCAAACTGGCGCAAAAATTAATGAACTTTTGATTTCTGTTGTTAAAACAGTATCTTAATATAGCAATTTCTTGAGAAAAGCTGAATTTTTAGCTATATCATCGTAATTGCGCCCCCTAGCGGTCATCCTAGAAACTTGAAAATAATTTCCATCAATTTCTCTTGGCCGATTTAGTGAAGAAAAAAAAAATCCCAAAGCCGTAAGGTCTATGGTTTCCATAATATCGTACCTGGCCGACCTTAGTGGGACACCTGGTATATTTTTGGTGCTAACAAATGATAACTTCTTTGTGTTTGAGGTTTGCCTGTTTTTGGAACTCTATAGGTGTGTCCAAGATAAGGATGGGATAGCACTAGGATCTGGAGAACGGTTGGAGTTACAATGTTGGTTAGATTAGGAAAAAGTTGAGCAATTTAACGCTGAATAAAATGGTACTTTGACATTTGAAAAATCCCGAACCCTGTAAATTAATTCATAGCTAGTTAGTTAATGAATTAACTGATCAAGAATTTGAAGTGTTTCTGTATGCATTGAGAATCCAGTAAAATCTGTTGAACATTCAACCAAAATTCATCAAAACATTTATTTATACTGCTAATATTCGGCAGTTTCGATTTTACGTTATTAGAGTTAACTTCTCCCGTCATTTACAAAGATATTTCAATAGAACTGTCTCAAAAGGTTGAAATAACAGGCATTTAATGTTCATTTTATTTAAAATGCATTGAATATCAAATATAAATAATAAACAATGTTTCCGTTTCACTACACATCGAAACTGCAAAACCTTGGTGGACTACTAACAAAAACACTGCCGTCTCCTAATATACAAATATTACCTCTTCATAAATTTTTGTCTCTTTTACAAGAATGTTTATTATGTTTCAACCTTGTGGGTATGTTGCAATACAATAATATAATGGATGTGTTCCTCGACTCTTCACTAAAACAACATATTGTGCAGGAAATAATTTCAAAAATGCGTCCACTGCAAATTGAAACATGATTTTTTGATTTTATTTCACCCTGGATGGCAACTATGGACCTGCCACGTTTCAATTGGATTTAAAAATGCATTTTATGTGGTAAATAGGCTGTTGTTTCGGTTAATAAGCAATGACAAGTATTAGATTTCTTTTAATTAGAAGTAAAAATACATAATTATGATTGATAGTCCTTAATACTTTTTTTTATCAGATTAATGTGTATGAAAGAAATCAATAACTGATTCAGCTGAAAGGTAAATATTGATACAACTTGAAAAGGGCCCTTCTAAAAAAAGTTTCCCCTATTTGCTCTTTTTTAAAAAAGAACAAGGGAATGATGAATTAAATTGAAGGATTGTAACGAGCATATTCAAATGCTAACGATAAGGATACCGAAATGACAAAATAAAGAGACTTTGAATTCCTCACTCTGATTACACATTTTGCCAAATGGCCCCAGTAGACGACTTAAGTATCCAGACAAATTAAAATTTCGTTAAACTGTGACAAATCAAACCGCAATTTGAACCTCCACTGGCGCCAAAGCATTGATTAAAAAATAAACCACATCTTGACGCCAATTATAGCTTTTTATAGAAAGGATTGGACTAGTTAATTTAAACGGAAGTTCGTTATAGTAGAAAAGTTTATATTATTCGCAAATGTGCCAAGGTTACACCATTTTGCAACAAACGAGTGGGTTTATTTAAACAACAAATGCAATAGGCCACCAGTTTTGTTTTATTTTGCGAGCCTAATAAATTAAACATGGCCATTCATCGAAATTGAAATGGCTTAATCAAGTTACATTGCATGACATAATCCAGAGTAAACAAAGTCATATGGAGGGTAAATTTTTGACTAACCATGTGCACAATCTTCAGACAATTTTTAGAAGCCTGAAATTTTGATTTGGATACCAACAAGGAATAATTTCAACTGATACTGATTTTTTAGCCTTTTTTAACTGGTCAAAACACCGAATTGGGAATTTGAAAGGTACTTCTTAGAGTGTGGATAGCCACTCTTTCCAGGTTAATTTTACAGTCTATTTGTAAATTATTCTTTTTAATACAATTTCATCTCATACATTTTCTATGTATGTTTTGCTCAGGAATATTTTTTCTTTTTATTTTTTTTCCTATAAACGTTTACTAATGTTATTTCTATGGTTGCAAAATTTTATTAACCCTATCAGTAATTTCTAAATAGAATAAGCGGATATCTGATTCTGGTATTTATATCAATTCATGACAATTATTAATTGTTATTTTATCAGGACAAATTTTTATTACAGATGACTTCATGAATTTTTAAAGGTATGACATATTTTCGATTAATTATTAATGACTTCTTGAATATAATTCAATCAACAATATTTTTTTTCCAGATCCTATTAGTTTCAAACAACCGGCTCTCTTCTCTACCGGACGATCTCTACAAAATGTCCCATCTGACCGAACTGGACGCTTCATGCAACCAAATCACCCATTTCCCGCCACGAATGGGCGAATTGAAGTCGATGCAATCGTTGGTGTTGCGTAGTAACCTTTTGCTGGCTGTGCCCATCGAAGTGACGTACTTAAGACTGATAAGGCTCGATCTGAGGGCCAACCGTATCAGCATATTGCCGATAGAGATGAGGGAAATGGAAAATTTAATTGATTTGTTTGTGGATGAGAATCCTTTGACCAGTCCACCGGCAAGTGTAAGTATATGATAATATTGAATTAATTTGAGCCGACGTATATGTTGTTCATTTTTGAATCAGATTATCTGGTGCTTTATTGATATTGCCAAGATGTTAAATTTTAATAGATACCTATAAAACAGGTAAAATTAGATATAACGGGGTTTAACTTGGTGTTCTCGTTAATCCTTTGGTTAGACATAGTTTCTGGACAACGAACTCCAGTAAGACATAAATAAAATCCTGCCAGGATATTTCCAGCGTCCGGAAAATCGGTTGGAATTATTCAATGAGTTCCAGCTCGCTCTATTTCGTAATTGAATTGTGATTACATGAAAGTGGTTTGTACAAATTTCTAATTGAATAGTGATGATCAGCGTTGCCAGCAGCGTCTAATTTTTCGTACTAAATTTTGTGGAGATTAAGATTTTTCGTAATAGACTAATTTTTGGGTAGTTTTCTGAGAACTTATTGAAATGTACAAGGTTCATCAGATGTTGGTTGTTCTCTTCTAGTAGAACAGCCGATTAACAAATAGCTACGTTCGCGAAAATGATTGAGAACAATCAGAACTGTTTCGCATGTGCAGTTCAAAAAGCAAAATTTTAAAAGTAAGGTTATTGTCTTTATTATTTTTTTTGTAACTTTAAAGAAACTATGTAATATATGTTTTCACTTTATTGTACTTGGGCCTCTCTGCCCTCTGGGACTGGTTTTTTAACTTTTTGTCTCGCAAAGTCCATACGCGACGCGGCTTTAGATTCTCCGAGCGATTAATGTTAAACATTTTAAGACTTGATTTTTCAAGGGAGCGTGTGGGTTTGATCCCCATACCAGAGACTTTTTTCAATTTAAACCTTTCACTTGTCGAAATCGTCTTCTTTCCGCCCTTAATACACAATGAACTATTTTAGAATCTTTTCTAATAATTCATGTTTTTTTTTAGTTGTGTAAAAGAGGTAGAGTGCACATATTCAAATACCTAGAGACTGAAGCGATGAAAATTGTAAGCAAAACCGGAGGCAACACAGGAACGTTGGGCAGGCGATCGAGAAAGGGCGGTGCTGGTTCACCGGGTCCTCCTCATTTGGCCAGCAGACTGAAGCACAAACGACAAAACGTCGATAGCGGTTATAGTACGAGTAGCGACGGTTACGAGAAACGGTGGTCTCAAGAAATAGGGGGTGCGTTTTTTTTTTTTAAATTTGTTTTGGTTATAATCAATGTCGATTTTTGTTAAGGAGAAGAAAAACCGTGGCCTTCAACGCCTATTTTAGGAAGAACTATCGACCAATTAGGAGCCAGATCGACGAATTCGACTCCGTCGACAATTTCTCCAGCTCCACCCGACTGCATTGAAGAAGACTTTACAAAAACTAATTATAATAATGGTGATTATGATAAGTTGGAGCGAAATATCAAGGATTATACAAAGTAAGTTTTATTTTATATTATGTAACCGATGTTAGTTAATTTTCTTTCTTGTAGGATTAAGAAGATTTCTTACATTATTTATTTATTTGTTTTTATATATTTTTCGTTACATTTATTGAGAAGTTAGGCTCTAGCAGGTATATTTTTTGTTTGTTTTTTTGCCTGAAGACCTAACTCACTTTTGCTTGTTTTTGTTGGATTTTAAATGTGTCTTGGCGGTTTTTTTTAGTGTTCGTCTAAGTCCTTGCACTGATACAATTGCTAACGGAAACAACGCCGATGATAAACCTAAAATTCAAACGTACAGGTTCGTGTTATACTAAATGTGTTTTTGTTTGCATCCTACTTATGTTTAATGTTTTAATATTTGCCAATTTTTTTTTCTAGGGAGTACAAAGAAGCCTTAAAACAACAACGCGCGCACGATGTGCCTTCGATATACCGTACAAAAGACAACGAGGAGCAAAGCTACAATAAAACCGAACCAAACACTCCCACACATCAACCCTCTATTATATCGCAAAGTATGGCGACATCAAAATCAGATCCGACTCCTTTGAATTCGGCTTTTAGTAGCCCCAAGCACATTTTCGATGATACAATGAATATGAAGAAACCAGTGCAAAAAGTGCCACCATCTAGGAATACGAATTTTTCGCCCAGTACTTATACTAACGGGAATGGCTTGGAGAGTAAGTCCAGGTTGATACAAGACTATGTCAAGCCTAATTCGCCTGTTAGAGGACCTACGGGGATTATGACGCATGATAATGTGCCAATAAATGTGCCGACTGTGATTTTAAATGGTAATATTTTTGTAGTTGTAATAATTAAGATTGGGTTCATGATTGAAAGTGATTTGTTCTGGGAATAATTTTAGTTAGTACAGTATACATCGAACTAGGACTGAACAGGGGGAAATCTGCTCCTACAAAGACTTAATTTGTCATCTTCAATGACAAGAAGGAAAATTCAGGGCCTCAAATTATTGTATGGTCTTACGCATAATACAACCGATTGCCTGTTTCTTCTTGGGGAGTTGCCATTTCGTGTTCCTCGCCCCGAATCTCGGCATGCTTCAGTTTTCTATCTCAGCACAGCAAGATCTAATATCCTTATGTAGGGTCCGATATATCTCATGTGTACAGTCTTTAGTTCACTGTTTTATCAATGTGATATACATACTGACACACTGAATGACATTATTGGGTCTCTTTTGTGTGCAGAGTGATTGATGGTTGCTAGTGTTAATTTCACTATTGCTAATGGTGCTGCGGCTGATATTGCTATATTTGTAGTCGTTGTTGTTATTGTTAGTATTCCTAATGATGCTGTTACTGATATTGCTATTTATTTATTTATTTATACCATAAGTATCAACAGCTAAAAACAGCCAATTATAGACACTGTAACATTCACTCTATTTACTACAAACGGTAATTCACCAAGAATATCAGAACTGTCAATATTTCCCTTTATCAACCTAAACAAATTACACAAACATGCTCTTGTTCTACGACATTCTAAAAGCATCCTGTTGAACACACGTAATAAAATTCTATTATCACAGCCCTGTTGAGGATAGACACCAAACTTCTGACCTCAATAAATGATTTCCATACATTATACTGTGGTGACCATATACTATTATACTCTAGTTTAGGAAGCACTAAAGTGTTAAGGCTTACGTCAATGCTAAAATTATTGATATCTCTTATCTCAATTCCCATTATTTTCTGTGCATCCTGTATCGTAGTTACTATACATATGGTCATTAAATGCCATATTTGTATCAAGAATTATACCCAAGCCACCTTGAGAGCTTACCCTATTTAACAAAACATCCTTAATACTATATGGATTATTAAAAACATTATGATTTACCAAGAAGAACATACAGGAACGGGGAATGCCTGATGAACTTTCATAGACTACAGACTTACATCCTTTTATTTCCACATAGTGGTTCCTTTTAAAAAGGAAGGATTCAATAATATCAATTAAATAAGGTGGAACATTCATATCCATCAATGCTTTCACAATTATACAGTACTTAACCTTATCAAATGCCTTTTCCATATCTGCATAAATTACATTCACCTAAGTTTTTTTCTTCAGCGACTCATGAACAAACTGGGAAAATGCAGCAAAGTTAGTGAATGTAGATCTTTTTGGTAGAAATTCATGCTGAAATTGTGTGATTTTAGAAGAGACTTCACTATAATGTTTTTTTGAACATGACGGGCGAGTCAGACGCAGATGGCGATTCTGAAACAAACGTAAAAGATGCAAATTTGGGTGGTTTTAAGTGCTGCTCAAACAAAAGTTGTAGTGTATGCGTATGCATAAATTATTTTTCCATCTACCATAATAGTTGTGTGAAGAGACTGTGAAAAATTAAGACCAAAATTGATGATACAAAAATCGAGTGTTGCCAACGTCAAGATTCTCCTCAAAAAATATGATGAATTGCATAAAATGAAAGTTTCCAAAATGACTATGGAAATTCAGTACCTGAAGAGGATGCTGGATGAATTAGCGGATAAAAGTAATGTGCTCAAACAAAACAATGCACTGCTATTGGAGAAAATTGATAACCTCAAAGTAAACCCACAAGTAAATAAAGCATCTTAGTCCAGCATTCTTGAGCTCAAATCTCAGTTAACTGCAAATTCTCAACTCCAAACTACAACGGGACAGCTTCCAATTGACGAAAAATCCAATAAAACTGAATTGCCCAAAAATACAAATCAAAACTATCATATAATGGTTAAAGGTCACAAAAATAAATTACATCAAATCATAAATCTGGAAAGTGATATGAATACCACTACAAATACTCTATAACTTACGAAGGGAAACCCAGTTTTCTCTGGATGAAGAAAAGAGTGATGACGGTTTCAAGAGACCACAGAAAAAGAGGTTAGGCATAAGAAATGTGGGTACTGGACAGGAAGCAGATAGTTTCATGGGTGGTGACAGGAGAGCCTGGATTTATCTGTATTGAATAAAACGCCATGTTACATCACAACAAATTGAAGACTATGTTTCAAAGCAGCCAGGTTTTGAAAACTTAAAAATTTCAGTTAAAGAGTTACCAAGTGACCCTACAAGATTGAAATCCTTTGTTTTGACAGCACCGTTAAACCGCAAAGATGAACTTTATGAATCTGATTTCTGGCCGCACAATGTTGGAATCAGGCGCTTCAACCACAGCCTGTTTATGAAGTATGAATCAGAAGGAGATTTTTTAGCTTAAATCATTCAGAAAGTTCAGGTAATAATTGTGTTACATTTAGCAGATCAAAATATACACTGTCTCAGAAACAAAGTGGATGAAGTGGAGGTTTTCTTGATGCAAAAACAAATACACATTATGTGCTTGTCAGAAAGTTGGTGTGTTGACTCAGAGATGGACAGTTTGAATATATCTAGTTACCATACTGCTAGTTACTTTAATCAAACCCCAAAACAGGCACGGGAGTGTCTCAAGTGTTGATTTTATACAATAATGAAATCTTGTTAATTAGAAATATTTATTTCTCACCCTATAGTGACCTATTTATTTTTAGGTAAGAACAATGTGAGTCCTAGAAAGCCGACTGCAGCTTTCTTAAACGGTAGCAGTCTTTCACCAAAAACAACTAACGGAGTCAAAACAATGACTAGGAATATAAGTTGGAACAAAGAAAGCGATAAAATGTCCTTCACTATGAGGAGGGAAATTGACAAGGCTAGGGAAGAAACGGATTTAATTAATCAGTTACGAAATGTGAGAAATTGGAAAAAAAATATTTTGGTTTGTTTGTAATTATTGTTGTATTTTAGATTATAGAAGCTAGATTAAAAATGGCATTACCTGAAGACTTGGCGTCATCTTTAACCGATGGCGTAGTGCTTTGTCATTTGGCAAATCATATCAAGCCAAGATCGGTGGCTAGTATTCATGTTCCATCTCCGGCAGTTGTGAGTTAATTTTATTTCAAAATACATTTTTATATGCTTAATATTTTGTTTTTAGCCTAAACTTACTATGGCCAGATGTAGACGGAATGTAGACAACTTTATAGAGGCTTGTCGAAAGATTGGAGTTGATGAGGTAAGTGATGAATCAATTTGCTTTATAGCTACAGTAGAGACTTTTTGGTCAAATTCAAATGTAAAATTTAACATAAAAAATCAGTATAAAAACAACAATGCAGGTAACAAAGATACAGACAAAAGAATTTTGTTTAGATTATGATTTTTTGCCAATATTTATAGTTTACTAAAATCAATAATACAGAGTTATGCAACTTTTGGGTAAAGTAACAATGGTAATTGGCACATCAATATTTGATAAATGTGCTTTTTTATCAAGATTCAAGGATTCAAGTGTATATGTATTTTCCAATGCACTGCTAATAATATATTTTTTGTAGCACTACATTTGTTAGGTTTAAAATTAATTATTGTAATCTAACTCTTATTGTAAGTCTGTACCGGTAGGTAAACGCTTTAAAGATGTTATTTTTATTCATAATAATAATTCTTCTGCATGTCACTAAAACTAACTTTCAAATTTCAGGCTTCAATATCTAACCAAAAAACTTTAATTTTTCAGTATTTGCATGTTTGGTTTCTTTCAATTTAGATAAAATAACCACTACTAATAAATTGTAAAACAATCAGTTTTCTATCACTTTTAGCTTTATATGTGCAGTCTAGTTTAATTGAAAGTAAATTTGTATTTGAAACCAAAATAATTAGGGCTGGTAACTACTTATGCTCTTGGTTAATAATTAGGGTTTTTAATGTGCATCCATTGAAAACCCTGATTAGATAAATTTATTAACAAAGAGCTAAAGTAATGTCACCTTCAACTAGAAATATGCAATTTTTTTTTTAAATCTACAACTGCTTTTTTCTCATGTCACAAACTGTTTCTCAATATCTTTTTAGCGTTGTACCATACCAAAAACACTGTCAGACAGTAAGAGTGAGACTATGGTTGGTTGCAGGGACGGCTGTGCAACACCTTAGACGTCACCGAAGCCCTAAACGGCCGAGGGTTGCCCCGTTTGGTGGACACAGTGGAGGCGTTGTGCCATCTAGAGGACAAATGTGAAACGATTGAGACAGAGGCAGCTTTACCTGAGACATTTCTTAGACAACCGCCGACTTTGTGGGACAACATATTCTCACTCTTTCTGCTGTCAGTGTTTGCCAGCACTATAGCTTTTCTTGTCACTTATCCGCCTCCGAATTGAGGATGATAACTGGTCTAATGTTTTTGCTTTTTGTTGGAGTTTTAATGATTTTCTAAATTATTGTAGTTTTTAGCTGAGATATTAATGGGGTTTTCAAAAAAAATTCAGAAATTTGAAATAAAATGGAAAGTTTTAGGTCTTGGCTGATTTCTGTAAATCACTTGAACCTACTTGATCACATAATCTTGGTGACCTGTTGATATTACACCATTTTTTGATTAAATTTTACCACGAGTTTTAGCTTCAATATAAACGATTTGCATCAATATTTCTAAAAAATAAGGTGAGGATAAAGAAGCAATTATTCTTGAATCTACTGGAATTTTTCAGTTCTTTATTGAAAAACCCCGAAAGTGGATTGGCTTCCAACTATGCCAAGTTTTTTTTTTATCATTAGCTCAAAAGTGAACTCCAACAAATATGCAAACCTTCCATATCGATTTTTTTCTGGCAAATATGTAATTGTATTTCCCAAAAAGTTTTCAGTTAAATAGTTTTTCAAAAATTTATCGTTTCCTTCTTGTTACTTAAGTATTATTTTAACACTAACATTCCATTTTATATTGTATTTATTTTTTATGTAAACAGTATTAGAATTATGTTCAAAACTAAACCGCTACCAATCGAAATAAGGTGACAAAGGCCAATAAGTTTATGGATATCAATCTGAAAAGTGTGTTTTCCTGATAGTATTTAATTTTTGTTTTTTTTTTTTGTGTAAATGTCTCAATATGGAACTATAATTATTATAATTTTGTTAAAAATTTTTTTGTTAATAATTATTCTGGCCAGATTTTTCTAAAATTATTTATACTGCGAATACCATAAGTTCCGCAACAATCCACTTATTTGTACTTGAAAATAACTTATTATTACGACGGTCGAAATTTGATCGTGGCGCCATCTAAGACAAGGATTCAACACTAAACAGCAATTTTTGCTGTAATTTAGTGATTGACCATCTAATCGGCCGACTAAAATTCAGTTCGTGGGAAAACCCAGAATAGGGAAAACAAGTTTTCTCCTATTATCCACTGATCTTCTCATAACTTATTATATTAAAGTCAGAATTTATATGATTATTCACTTTTTGTCAATTTGCCTTTCAACAAGAATTAGTAATGTTACAACAGCGCTCGTCCCGCAGGGTTTCACCCATAAGTTCCGCAATAATCCACTTATTTGCACTTGAAAAATACATCATATAAAGTCAGAGTTTGTAAGAATACTACGGAACTTATGGGTGGACCTCTGCGGGGCGAGCGCAGCGAGCTCCGCAGCCATCTATTCATCAATATTTTGTTTAATTATGATAATAACTTGACTCACTCAAATATGAGTTATTCTCATTGGTTTAAAAACTACACGTTTCAGGTGAATGACTTACTTGAACAGTTCAAAAGTATGTATATTGGTGATTAAATGGCTGTGGAACTCGCTGCGCTCGTCCCGCAGAGATCCACCCATAAGTTTCCACTTTTTGTCAATTCGCCATTCAACAGGAATTAGTAATGTTACTTTACCAAACTACTAATATATTGTGATAAGTTATTCAAGTACAAACGAGTGGATTGTTGCGGAACTTATGGGTGGACCTCTGCGGGACGAGCGCAGCGAGTTCCGCAGCCATCTATTCATCAATATGTTGTTTAATTACGATAATAACCTGACTCACTCAAATGTGAGTTATTCTCATTAGTTTAAAAACTGCCCGTTTCAGGTGAATGTATTACTTGAACAGTTCAACAGTATATTGGTGATTAGATGGCTGCGGAACACGCTGCGCTCGTCTCGCAGAGGTCCACCCATAAGTTCCGCAATAATCCACTTATTTCTACAGGGTGTTTTTTTTCTACAGGGTTATCGTTATGTATGGAAACGGTCTGATATTTCAGAACTGGCTTGAAAAAAATTTACAATATTTCCTACCTGGGGGTTTTTGGGAATGACCGATTCAATGATGATATTTGCAATGTTGCCAAGTTTACCGTTTCTTAAATTCCGTATGTAACTTGATTTTTTTAAATGGATGCCCCCATTTATTTTTATTGTAATTAATTCAGCGTCCCAACTTTACTTAAACCCCTAAATGCCAAAACTCCATTTTACTTGGTTTATGAAATATGGCAACACAGATTTTGTGTTGAAATGTATGGAAACAGTCTCGTATTTCAGAAAAGACTTTATCAAAATGTACAATATTCCCTACCTGGGGGTTTTTGGGAACGCCCGATTCAATGGTGGTATTTGCAATGTTGCCAAGTTTACCGTTTATAAGATGCCGTATTGAACTGCCCGTAGGGGCATCTATTTAAAAAAAATCAAGTTACATACGGTATCTTATAAACGGTAAACTTGATACCACGATTGAATCGGGCATTCCCAAAAACCCCCAGGTAGGAAATATTGTAAATTTTTTTCAAGCCAGTTCTGAAATATCAGACCGTTTCCATACATAACGACAAGCCTGTATATTGACACGCCATCTACAGCCTTTACCTTTACAGGTAGAAGAAAGGTGTAAATACAAAAGTTGTATACAGTATTGGCTAAATTTTTAGAATCCATGGTCAGAAACAAAAATTGAATGTCAGAAATGTGAAATATTGCATGCTTTCAGCTTTTTTCAAATGGGATGCACTATATTTGGTTCTATATTCTTGAAGAACCAAATTTCCCGATTCCAAACCTATATAGTGTGTATATATTTGGTTGAGCCGTCTCCAATATATTGATTGTAAAATTTTTTAAAATATTATCAGATAAACCAATTACCTCATTTTATCTGCAGCTTTCACCTGTACAGGTAGAATGGTTCACAAAATCAGTAGTAGAATCGTATTTTTACAATTTTTGGACCCGAATTTATGAGAGACTGTTCAATCAAAAATAGACAAATTACATATATGTTTTTAAAATCGGGAAAATGTGCTCTTTAAGAATATTGAACGAAATATAGGGCATCTCATTTGAGAAGAGCTGAAAGCATGCAAAATTTCACATTTTTGACATTCAATTTTTGTTTTTGACCATGGATTCTAAAAATTCAGCCAAAACTGTACAACGTTTCATCTACCTGTAAAGGTAAAGGCTGTAGGTGGCGTGTCAATATATAAAAAACATTCTGTACCAAAAGAAATACTATTTATTAAATTACCCAAAAAAACATATCATCTAGTAATTATTAACTGAGGATATTTCACAACGTCTTGGATAATTGCTATTCCACTGTGTATTAGTTTTGAAATATAAATGCACAAAAAAAAAAATTAAATTCTTACATAAAATGAGGTTGAGCCTATTATTATTAATCCAATTTTCTACTTGTAACTAACTGTTACTTAAACTTATTGGCCCTGATCACCATTCCTTACCAAAGTGACTTTTTTCTTATTAAAATTATTTTAATTGCTTATACAGTGCTTGAAAATTGTGATTATTTGCTTTATGTCATACGCGAGTGCCTGAAAATGTAGCGATTAGTTCAAAACTTATTTATGCATATTATGTCTGTTCAACCAAGAATCAAAAATCTGGTAATAGGAATTAACAAAAGTTGATAGTCAAACTTTGAAATCTATTTAAAAAAAATTGAAATTCCAAATTCTTCAATGTCTAGATTTTCTCTTCATACTGTCAAGCCGAAATGATGAAATTTCCTCCTCTTTCCTTAATTCAGGGCTTGCAAGACTCTCCGTCTATAATACAATTCAAGATATGATTTTTCAAAGTTTTTAGAAAATCTTCTAGTTGTAAGATGTTTGGAAAAAGAGCAGCAGAAAATTTCCTTCTCCTTCCTTAGCGGGATTGTATCTGTGAAAGTATAAATTTCTAATTTGATTCGATATTCTTGTTTGAACAAACCAAATGATTATTTATGATGTAGGTGCTAAAAATTTGCTGCTTTAGTTATTAGAAAAAAAAAACTAATATATTATTGAGTATTGATTAATTTAGTTTAAGCTTAAACCAGTGAGTGAGTATTATTATACGTTGAAAACGAAATCCGATACCAGTGCCTAAAAAAACAAATTTTTCGATAGTTTAGTATTTTAACTGATTTTAGTGATATGTTAAAAAAATTGTAATCAAAAGGAATTTTTGGAGGGAAAAAAACTCAGGATTTAATTTGAATATAGGGTGTCTCTTAAATTAAAAAATAAAACAGAAATATTTATTTGAGTTACTTTGTTAAACAAATTAATTTCATGCAATTTGTTTATTTTTTTTGAGTTGTCCATAAAAAGCTTTAAAGGCATCCTAATGGCCATAATTTAAACGAATCTTATATTGAATTATGATTAATATAAAACTAGTAGTTCTATGGTATTTTTGTATTAAACACTAGACATTCTACAGTCTACGCTTAATTAGGAAGCTATTAAATGTAATAATAATTATATTCTAGTCATGCCGATTTATATAGAGTTATTTTTTAACTTCCAATTATAGAAAATAAGGTGAATTATAATAATTTGATTGGTAAATCTTTTTAGAATTTCTGGATTAAAAACCATATAGAAATTGCTAATGTATGTATAATATGAGTATAATTTTCTTACTCTTCTTTATAAAAATTATCAACAAGGTTTTACTACTTTTGTTAACTTTTTCATGCATTATTTTTGTGATTGGAAGTTTTTCCTTAGCTTAGTATTTTTCCAGTATTATATTGAAAATGAAGACTGGCAACTTTTATTCTACTAATGATGCCCGGTTTCATAGATTTACATTAATCAACTTGATTTATATACAGGGCGTTAATAAATAGTGGGATCAAACTTATAGGATAAATATAACTCATTAAAATAAGAAAAAAGTTAATGGAAACATGGGTCCGCGAATGCTTAGTTTTCAAGATACAGGGTGTCAAAGTTTGAAAAAAAAAAACGTTTTTTAGCTCAAAAATCCCTTTTCCAATTTTCTTTTTCAAATTTGGCAGGTTTGTTTGTGATAACAAAAGGTATCTTTCGAGTTTTGACTGTAATATGACTTAATCTGCAAAAATATCAAAGTTTTAAAAAAAAAGTGATATGCCATTTTTTTCTACTTTTACTAACGAGTTGTCCTCTGGGGCGCCACTGGAATAATTACGGTAAATCTAATTGAATCAAAAGATACCTTTTGTTATTATTACAAACAAATCTGCCAAAATCAAAGAAATTTGGGAAAGTGATTTTAAAAAACTGATTTTTTCAAACTTTGACACCCTGTATCTCGAAAACTAAGCATTTGCGGACCTATGTTTCTATCAACTTTTTTCTTATTTTGATAAGTACTATTTATCCTAGAAGTTTGATCCCACTATTTATTAACACCCTGTATATGAAATTGAACGATTTTTGGGTAGTCAGTTACCCACTTGATAAGTTCAAATAATTATTATTCTAATAACTTATTTGTTTTCTTTTGTTACCTGTATTGTGTACGTTTTTTTTTTTGATTGATTTATTTTTCCTTTAAATGGGTTTTGGTATCCTTTTTTTTTGAAGGGGTTTTTCCTTGATATAAGTACTTAGAAACTATGCGATGCTTTTTTTGAATAAAAACGTTAAAAGACATCAGTGACAACTTTTTTATTTATTTATGAAAAATCATTCTGAAATATTAAATTTTCATGGTAGTTGAACTTACAAAAAATAACATCTTACACAAAAAACGATGTAGAACCAATTTTTCAAGTACTTAATACTTTGTATCATGTTTTAGGGCTGCTTTCTTCATCTCCAATAAGAGCTTCGTTATTTTCATTTCTTGGTTATATTTGATGTGTGCTCTATGTGTCAAATCAATCAAATCAAATCAAATATCTTTATTAACGCACATAGCATTTAAAAACTTAAAACCTAGCATAAAAAATAAATATCAACAATATAACAATTGAGTACATAATAGTCCTAATTAGGAAGTACTAACTAACCACAAAACATCCCCCCTTAGAAATGTAAGTCTTATGAGAGACGTCAGTCTAGTCGTTTCAGCTTTCCCCTCCAATCACTAGAGGCGCTTCAATCAACCTATTAAAGTTTTCTTTTTCCTGCCGGACCGTGCGCCAAGATTTGAAGTTTATTTTGTCATTTCCAGTCGTCAAAATTTAAATTTTGAACTTCTCCCAACATTTAGAATTATCAATTACCTATCAATTATCAATAATTATTATCTCAAAATGTCTCCTCCCAGTTTGTTAATTGAAAAGCATCAGAAATGCTGTGTTCCGGGGTGCGGCGACAAATACAGCAGCTATTTCCGGTTTCCAAAAGATGCCGAAAAAATGAAACAATGGCTAGAAAAAGTTCGCAATCCTTTACTAAATAGCCTCAGTGTCGAGAAGGCTTATAATAATTATAGAGAACAAGACATTTTCCTCGAGAATTTATTGTTGGCGATCCAAAAGCCAGACGAGGACTCACATGGAATGCTGCGCTTTTGCTGTATCTCCCTGAAGGTAAGTTAATACTAGATATATGTGAGAAAGACGTACTTACATTTTCACTTATTCCTCCCCATAGTTCTGATTAACGACAACGTGTTAGAATTCGGGTTTAAAGGAGCATAGGTCAGAAACATTAAAATTAATTTTAATTTTAGCCCCAATTATCAAAAACAGTAAGGAGTCGTTAATTGATAAACCACAATCACCAAAATGGCAAAAAGTGGAGATCGACACAGTTGAAACTCGTCGAAGAGTCCTAAGACGCCTTCAGAAATTAGTTTCGCAACTATGATTGACATAGGTAGGTAAACATAATAACTCTGTTCCAACACGTCAAAAAATCGTCCCATGAACGGTTTCGAAACCACTCAGTATAACAATTTTAGTTTCTGCGCAGAATCGTGACGGTACATTGTACGGTTTTCTGCTGTGTTGGAACAAAGCTAATATTATTCATTTCTTTTTTTTAAATGTTTATTCCTTTATCAGGAGACACAATAATTAAAATATTCCTGGTTACATACAGGTACACCATATTCTACAATGCATGTATCCAAACTTTTTTGGTAGAATCGTTGGTAACGAAATTTCTGTTTTAGATCAATCAGGCCCTTCATGTCGTCAATTTTTATCTACTGAAACTTCTGCAATTCGGGCAGACATTGCTACACCAAGTGGAACCATCACATCTGCAAACATGAAAAAGTCACCAACCCACTTTGTCTCTTAAAACTTTTATTGGTAGGTACCTAAGTGTTATTGCTTAATGAATAACCACCCAGTTGGGAGTAGGTGAATTTTAAAACATCCTAACTCAAATAGGACTACTACTATAAAAGACTACTAATTACTAAAACTTGCAGTCGAATGCTAGAAAAATTAGAAGCTAAATGTGCGAAAAGCTCGTCTCCAATCTTGATCTATTTTTTTTTTGCAGGTCATGAGAGATGATGCCAAATTTTAAAGAACATTAACGTCACTAGGCAAAAAATTCCTATCCCCAAGGGAAAAATATCTTTATTCCAAAGTTATAGAATCCAGCAATAAGTTAAGAAGAATCAGTAGAAGGTTGTCGTCATTTAAATCCAAAGTTTCTACTGCTGAATAACTTGCATCATAAACCAAATTTCAAAGGCTCGTAGACCACGTCAATCCATTGATATACAGCTTTATTTTAAGCCAAGTCCGTACTCAAAACCAAAAGCCTAAAGCTAGACGATTTACATTGGACGAGAAGTTGTTGGCGTTGTCTTTGCTTAAAGCTAGTGGTAAAGGGTATAGACTATTATCAAAAATATTTATTCTATCATCCAGGCGAAATCATTTTCTTGAATGAGCTTTATATTATGTATAACTACATAAACTTTCTACCTAACACATGCGGAAAGTGTATTTTCTGGACTTAAAGGCTTGTTTGAACTCTGCTTTTTGTTGTCATTCGTGCAACTTCCATCACGTGCAGAAACACTTTCCTCACTTGTTAGGTTAACAACGATTTTGGATTGTGAGAAAAGGACCTCTTTTGTCATTTTATTTACGATTTAAGTTTTTCATCAAGCTATTGTTAAATGTACGTCATTACTTCTTGTAACTGTCCTTATTATCTTTAACTTAACTAGCATTACCTACCTATGTATGTATACTTACATGAAAAAAAAACTGTTTCGCAATAATTGTAATTAATTCCATATTCTTTAATATTTTCTGTTTCAAACTTTAATAAATATCTAAATTTGTCATCTTAATTTTTAGTCAATTTTACCTTGAAGGCGCTTCAACACTACCGATTTTATGAGTTTCTTCTTTTTGGCACAATTATTTTATGCCAAAAAATGGTAGAAACTTTAAAGTGGTGGTGTTGAATCGCTAGAATCAAACAATGGTGCAAACGATCCACCGGAACAAATAAGATACCGAACGAACCCTAATTGCGTTTTGCATTCGCCAATAAATCCAGAATTACAAAAGCTTACCCCCCCAGTCACTAGAGGCGCTGAAAACTTATAGACAGGTTCTCAACACGGCACTTACCTTTCTAAGGGGGGATGTTTTGTGTAACTAACAAACTAAAGAAATGAAAATAACTGAAACAAGCAACAAAACGATGTTGAACTAAGTAGTAAGATGGCGAAATAACATAACATAAATACATACACATTTTTATCTTAAGTCAGGCTATAATAGTACAATATATACCTAGGTAGAGAAGTTGGTCATTATATTCCGAGTACTTTTATAATTGGCCTATTTGGGTTTACAAAAAGTATGGTTCTAGAACGGTCCAGAAGAATCGCACAGTTTATTATTGAAATTTGTGATAGTCGAGTCGTTGTTATTTTGTTGATCAATAAACTGGACGATTGTTTTGAACCCTTCTAGAACCGTCCTTTTTCCAAACCCGAATAGGCCTAATGTGTAAGGTATGTAATGACTTTCTCTACCGAGGGATATATAGAATTTTTTTTACTACTGCTAGTAGAAAATAAAAAATAGGTTTGAAACAAACCTGTGCTCAAATTATTTTCTCTTGTCGGAAGTGCTGCCCTCTATCAACAGCTTACGGTAATTTCCTATATAATGTACATACAGGAACCTGCTTTTTTTAAAATTGACAGTTTGACACTGAAATTAAACCAATAGAAACCTGTTATGTTATGACAATATCCTTGCGTCATGACGTCATTTTCATTATTGACTCAGGAATTTTTTCATTATTTTCATTATTAACCTAGGGAGAGAAATTTAATTTTTTCCCAGAAAAATGGATGGAATAATGACTACTTCTCAGGTTAGTAGTAAAAAAACTACGTTACGCACTGGTGCATGACATTTTATGTCCTCTAAAAGGTGCGTAACGTAAGTACTTTACGCGCGGTAGTGGAAAAATACAATTATTGCGCCTTCACTTACAGTCGGGAATGAGATGTGGTACCCATACTTATACAGGGTGGTCCATTTAAATTGAGACATTTCAATATCTCGAAAATGGCGCGTTTTTGAAAAAAAAAAGTTCAATAATGTCTTAAGTTCAATGGCCCACCCTGTATACCTATTGTATATCGTGTGCTAGAATCTTAAAATTACCAATTTCTCATTGAATATGAAAATTTTGCGACTAAATAAAAGAAAAAGTAAAGTCTGTTTTTTTTTTTAAAGATAATTCCCCAAGTCAAAAATTTAGTGACTATGTTGGGAACACGAGCCTTTTCTACATGAAAAATTTGAAAGCATCGACAATTTTACATTGTTTTGCCAACATAATGTTATTTTGACTTTTATTTAAAAAAAAAAACAGACTTTAAAAATTCCGCTTTCCGCTTCTACCCTTTGCGAACGAAAATGTCCTCAAAAAGGCAAAAAGGGGATAATTCCGTCAAGTTGGCAACACTGTGGATGACTCGTTATCAAACGCAAGAATATCAACAAAGCATTTGATAGGTTGGATATAGGCCCCGCCCCTTTCCAATCAGATGCGGGTGATATTAGCAGGGCATTTAATTGGTTAGTTGAGCCCCGCCCCTTTCCGGGGTTTATGTTTCGTCAAGGTATTTGATTGGTTGTTTTCTTTTCAACCCTCTCCAATGGCCCTGGCCCACCTACAGTGACTTAACGTTTTAAATAGAAATTCGGTACCACCGCCATATTTTTGCAAATTCTTTGATATTTACGTAGGTATTATTATTAATATTATTATTATCCAAATATATATTTATTTATTCTTTATTTTTTAATTTTTCCATCTCATATTTTGTCTATTCTCTGATCTTGAATTTTCGTTTTCTTTTTAATTTTTCTAATGCCCATTTCCACCAACTATTTTAGGGAAGCCCTAACAATAGGTATGCCTTAAACTGACATTTCTCCATGTAAAAATGTCATTTTAGGGAATACTTATCGTTAGGGCTCCCCTAAAATAGTTGAGGTTTATAAAGCGTGATGCGTGAGGTATATAATGACTTTCTCTACCGAGGAATATATAGATTTTTTTTTACTACTGCTAGTGGAAAATGAATAAAGTCTCTGAGGTCATTACAGAAATTTAATTTGCACCCTCTCTAAATTTTCTTTATGTACCTTGTAACAGGGCTACCATACCGAGCTGACATACTCCAGAATGGATCATCAACCAAAAGATTTAATACCGTGGATCTCCCCTTTGTGAATCCATGTTGTTCCTTGATAATAATATTCTTAAAAAGAGGTGTTATTTTATCAGCGACTCAAGTATCTTTGCTAACAAAGAAATCCTGCAAATAGGGCGGTAGTGTTTGACATCTGCTCTGTTCTCATTCCTAAAAACTGGTATGACATAAGATTTTTTCCTTTCAGGAAAAACTTCAGTTTCAAGAGATATTACACAAAATTTGTCCCTTAAACATTTCTGAAATATCTTGTGCATCATCAATTTCCCGCCCATTAAAGAACATGCATTTTGGGTATTCTGCATTGTCCAGAATTTGGGAGAAAATGATATTATGGTTTAATCTTCGAAGAAATTATTTTAATCAATTATCAGAAAAACCATAAGTGTTTTTACCTAGAATGCAGCACTCTACCATATCTACAACGATAAGGTACCTATACAAATTAAGCTTACATATCTTGAAACCTTTAATAAAACTGAAAAAAGTCCCACTTACTTGTAATACAATGTTATAAAATGTTGTGACCTTATAATGAGGTCACCATAGTTTAAATCGCAAAAAATGAATAACAAATTATTAATACAAATCCAAAAGAGTCTCAAATTATATGTGAAAAAACACAGATTTGTTTAGCAAAACAATTTTTTTTTTTCAGTTCATGATTCAGAAATGGTAAATGTTTTCCATGTTCAGATATAAGCTGAAATTTCCAGTTTGTAATCGTTTACAAGAATAAAATTCTCTAAATATTTCATATTTAGATTAAAATAATACAAAAACACAAATTAATAATAAAAATCACATAAGATTCGTTAGGCTAAAATAAACTTACAAAACCAAATAAACATTTTTATTAATATTCACAGCCTAATACTTTTTCAAATAATTGCAATGTATAAATTAAATATCAACTAACACTGGTAAAATTTCTACAATCTCCTTTAAAATCTTCAATAAAACCCCCAATTTCAGAGTACATTAAAATGTCATTATGACCGAAACCATAATCGGCAGAAAACCCGTGAAACCTCACTACTCCTTGATCATTTTTCCGGTTTTTTTGGGCTGTCTTAGCTAATCGCTCTCCTAGAAAATAGGGAACTACACTATCATCTTCTGCATGTAGTATCATGATTGGACAATCAATAGATATGATATTTTTTATTGATTTAAAATGAAACCCATTATTGTCAAGTGGATTTATTATAGTGGCATTGAAGTAACTTAACCAAGTAAATATTTTTCCTAGTGGATTATTAATGATAACGTCTTGATAAGCGGTAAAAGATGCTTCTAGAATCATTCCTTTTGGTGTAATATTTTTTTGGTTTTTTAACATTTTTACGGTGTGGCTGGTCAGGCCGGTACCCAAGGAATGTCCCCAATAGTAGACGTCACTTTTCGAGTTTAGTGATTTTACCCAATCAAAAATTTGCAGATGATCGTGGACGATTCCTGCTTCAGACATGCGAACATTTTGGCCAGAATCGCCATATCCTCGATGATCAATTGCAACAATTAGAAAATGTTTCCGTAAAACACCATATTGTTTTATAGCTTTTGCCCTATTAGCAAATACTCCATGTAAATATATGGCAATATCGTGTTGTGTATTTTGTAATATTTCACTTACATTATTGGACTTAGTTTCAAAGTTTTCAGGTAATATTAACCAAGCTCCGATTGTGGTTGATGTATTGTAATCGTAATAATCCCGAGTAGAAATGTAGAAATTGTGAACGCCTTCAAGCCCGAAGTTTTCTGGTTGATTAAAATTCGCGTGTCTTGGCGAGGCGATCGGTATGAATACCATAAAAGTTTGGAATGGTAGCGACAGCATAAAGGATATTGGTATTAGTATCCAAATAATTATAAAAGCTAATGATATTAGAATAAAAAATGATATAGTGCTCCATATTAGAGTTTTTCTGCAAAGGTTTTTTCGCTTCTTTTTTCTATGTTCTTCAGATAGTAAATAGTCGTTGTCGTGGTTGTTTGGGGCGATATTCTGGAAAAAAAAAACTGGGTTGTGAAGATATGAATCAATAATGGTGTTTGTTAGAAATAGGAAGACGCGTTCTCACAAGGCGATTTTAGTTTAGAATTTCTTAATAGAGAGTATGAAAGAATTAGTTATATGATTTTTCATAGTTTTTCGAAATTTTACCTTTCTTTAGAAATGTTGAATATTCAAATATTTTCCTATTGGAGATTTTGCCTTTAAATGGGACTGCCTTCAATCCATAATGTAAATCGTTGTTAGATTTGAAGCCGAAATCACCCGAAATGTTTAAAAAAGTGAAAGAGCAGCGGAAAAATTGAAAAATGGTAAAATTAATATCTTCCACTATGGGCTGAAATTCTCATGTTTGTTTTTTAATATCAAACATTTATAAGCAAAATCTTCAATCTCTAAACTCTGTTTCATATACACTCATCTTTAATGGGTATTAAACTAAATCGCCTTATCATCATGAGTCACAGGTTTGAAAATAATATCTTGTTTAATTACGTACCTTTTTCAAACAACTATGGGCCATTTTTCTGTCACTTTTTTAACCTTGCAGCACAAAATTCACCAAAAAAATAGAAGTTCCATTTCAGACGAACCGTTCATCACTAATATGCAATGTTAGCTTACGCCATAGACTTTGCTTACGCCTTAACTTTTCAAGTTAAGATAAAACTGATAAGCTGATGGGTAAATGAAAATTGATCGGTTTGAGTGTTGTTTGGCTTGTTAAGTTTGAACAAATAAGGAATTCATTAGATCACTTCGGTTTTTGATGTATAAATGTGATGATCCTTGTACGAGAAACAAGGTCAATGATACAAGGCGCTCGCGGTATTTCCTTGTTGTTTCAGTGTAAAGAATACGGAAATAAGTATTATTGTTGATCGGAAAAGTAATGAATACTAATGAATGACCTTTTGTGGAAGCCTGTACTATATGATTTGTAAAAATTTTGGTATGCTTGCGATATGTCAATAGATAATTTTTCAGGTTCCAAACAATATTTTGACTGGAAGAGAAACTTTTTTCCAAATAATCATTTATTTTTTTGATCGAAATCCATGGGTCGCCATATGTTCCATAATTATTTCGTCTTATATGTAAAATATTTTGCAGGAAAAACAATATATAGATAAAAATGACCACTATTTTGTTTTTCCTCATTTCGCCATGGTTTTCTGTGTGTTACTTAGTAAATTTTTTAATTGGGGAATTATCTTTAAATAAAAAACAAACTTTAGGCGGTACGCGAGGGCGGCGGGCACTCAAACGGAAGGAAAGGAACACAACACCACAATCTTAGTTATCACTCACCAGTGTTGCCGTTGCCGCGCTTATGACAATACATAATTATCATCACGCAATTATCAATGCACCCTAATTGCAGCTATTTAAATTACAAATCAACGGCCCTCCAAAATACCTTATTTCAATCCAACACACCATCCACAAAAAAAAATTATTATCAAAGGTAGCGCCATCTCTCGGGGACTTTTCAAACTAAAAAGTTTTATATCGAACTTTGCACAATGCCAAATTCAATATATATAATATTTTTTCATATTTTATAAATATTGAATTTTGCATGGGTCAAATTCAATATATATATTTTTTCAAAGTTTTATATATATCGAACTTTGCACGGTGCCAAATTCGATATATATAATATTTTTTCAAGTTTTATAAATATTGAATTTTGCATGGGGCCAAATTCTATATATTTATTTTTTCAAATTTATTTTATATACAGGGTGTCCGGAAAGTCAACGATAATACTGAAAGGGCTGATGGAACAACTCATTAGCATCCAGAAAAACATAATATGACCTTAGTAAAAAATCGATGGTTTTCGAGATAATGTCACTTTAATAAAATTCGTTAAAATGGTCCTCTTCGATCAGATTTTCGAGTGTCACATTAAAATTTTCATTATTTTCAGATTCAGTTTTGCAATGGCGAGTAAACAGTTCATTTGTCATAGAACAACATTAAAAGTCAAAGTTCAAAACATTCACTAAAAAATCTTTTTAAAGTCAAGTATCAGGATTATTCACTTTAAAAAGATTTTTTAGTCAATGTTTTGAACTTTGACTTTTAATGTTGTTCTATGACAAATGAAATGTTTACTCACCATTGCAAAACTGAATAGAGAATCTGAAAATAATGAAAATTTTAATGTGACACTCGAAAATTTGATCCAACAGGACCATTTTAACGAATTTTATTAACGTGACATTATCTCGAAAACCATGGATTTTTTATTAAGTTCATATTATGTTTTTCTGGATGCTAATGAGTTGTTCCATCAGCCCTTTCAGTGTTATCGTTGACTTTCCGGACACCCTGTATATCGAACTTTGCATGCTGCTAAATTTGATATAAATATTATTTTTTATTTTAAATATATGCAAAATAGTGGTCATTTTTATCTATATATTGTTTTTCCTGCAAAATATTTTACCTATAAGACGAAATAATTATGGAGCATATGGCGCCCCATAGAAATCCAATACTGAATGAATGAATATCTGAACTGGTTTCTGTGATTTTTAGAACCAAACATGTTGGAGACGGCTCAACCAAATATAGATAAACTATATAGTTTTGGAATCGGGGCATTGTGCTCTTCAAGAATATAGAATGAAATATAGGGCATCCAATTTGAAAAAAGCTGGAAGCATGCAAAATTTCACATTTCTGACATTCAAATTTTGTTTCTGACTATGGTGTCTAAAAATTCAGCCAAAACTGTACAACTTTTGTATTTACACTTTTCTTGTACCTATAAAGGTAAAGGCTATAGGTGGGGTGTCAATATATAAAAAAACACCCTGTACAAATAAGTGGATTATTCCGGAACTTATGGGTGGACCTCTGCGGGACGAGCGCAGCGAGTTCCGCAGCCATCTACTCACTAATATACTGTTGAACTGTTCAAATAAGACACTCACCTGAAACATGTAGTTTTTGAACTAATGAGAAAAATTCACAACTGAGTAAATCAGGTTAGAATTGTACTTGAACAACATATTGGTGAATAGATGGCTGGGTCCACCCATAAGTTCCGCAACAATCCACTCGTTTGTACTTGAATAACTCGTCACAATATACTACTAGTTTGGTGAAGTAACATTACTAATTCCTGTTAAAAGGTGAATTGACAAAAAGTGAATAATCTTACAAATTCTGCCTTTATATAATAGGTAATTTATCAAGTACAAATAAGTGGATTGTTGCGGAACCTATAGGTGGACCTCTGCGAGGCGAGTTCCGCAGCCCTCTACTCACCAATATACTGTTGAACTGTTCAAATAAGACATTCACCTGAAACGTGTAGTTGGTAAACTAATGAGAATAACTCACATTTGAGTGAATCAGGTTACTATCGTAATTAAACAACATATTGATGAATAGATGGCTGCGGAACTCGCTGCGCTCGTCCCGCCGAGGTCCACCCATAAGTTCCGCAACAATTCACTCATTTGTACTTGAATAACTTGTCACATTATGTTACTAGTTTGGTAAAGTAACAATACTAATTCCTGTTAGAAGGCAAATTGACAAAAAGTGGATAATCTTACAAATTTTGACTTTATATAATAAGTTATTGTTCAAGTACAAATAAGTAGATTATTGCGGAACTTATGGGTGGATCTCTAGTCATCTATTCATTAGGCCGGCATAGACACACGTTTTTTTGCGCGGTTTATCGTGTCATCTGCAAGAACCTGTGAAAATCATGTGCGGGAGTGAGGAGGGCTGCACGCAATGATAGAATGGGAAGGGATTTCAGACGTACTTTCATCTGGAATGTGACGTTAATACTAAGGGCCGTATTCTCCGTAGTTCATAAAGCCTGGCTTAGTGGAAAAGCTCGGCTTTGTCACACAAAAAACATAGCGTTTCCACTAAGCCAGGCTTTATGAACTACGGAGAATACGGCCCTAAAGTACATGATAGTGCAGTTCACACCCGTGTCCACAAGTCATTCCACGTCGCGGTTTTGAGGCTAGTACCAAATCAGCCCCAGGATTCTATTTTACGAGTCGAGTCGAATTGTCTCGATATCGAATACGACAGCTCCGGACTTACCGTGTAATAGGTCTTGATAAATCGGAAAATTGAATCGCTATTCTGACAATTCGATACGAATTTCAACTCGACTCGTAAAATAGAATCCGGTAGCAGGAACGCCGCGTCTCAAACTATAGGTGAGCTCGGCTTGCTTACTCCGTGCACTCCGAGTGACTCCATTCGCACACCAGCCGTTCGGGTTAAGGTTCAAGTATTGCTTTTTACCGTATTAGGGGTGACTCCATTAGCTCTGTTCACTCCACTCCAACTTCGCGCTGAATAGCCGAACCCAGCTTATTGAAAATTAGCACATGACCACATGCAATTTCAAACGACACGATAAATGACACCTTTTGTCCACACACATACGATTTTTCCTTTGAAACTAATATGCCACGTGTAATCACGCGCGGTAAATCATTTGAATTTTTTGTCAAGTGTATGGAACATGACGCTTTTTTTGCCACGCCGTTCTTTCGCGCATGCTAACCGCCACATCCCATCATGCCACAATAAACCGCGCGAAATAACGTGTGTGTATGCCGACCTAATAATAAATAATAATAAAACTGGTACGCATTTTCCTATTGTGTTGTATTGTGTAAATCGACCTTTTTTATCACCTCAAAAATACCAAAAAGAGTCAAGTCAGTGTCATCTTTTAACCAAACATAACAAAAAAACATATTGAATTTACTTTTGTTTAGCTTTGACATCGACAAAAACTGTCTGACCCGATTTTCTCAAAAGAGACTTTTTGTTGTTAAGCCTGACTCACACTAGGCAAATTTGAAAAATATATATTGCCTGTACCAGTTTTATGTTTGGCCAAAGGCGTTTTCTCGCGGGGCGAATGGTTCGAATTACGGTTTAAACCAATTTGTCGATGACGTCATCCCTTGTGAACGCGAGAAAATAGAAGGTTTTAACCAGAGTCTTATGTCAACGGAGAACGAGTCATAAAACTGGTTCGAACTTTTTTGAACCTAGTTCAATGTGACGTCACTGGTTCCACGCAAGAATGTACAGGATCGAACCTAATCGAACCGGATCGAACCATTTCCACCGCGAGAAAACAGCTCGATACAGTGTACGATACTAACCTGACTCACTCAAATGTCAGTTATTCTCATTAGTTCAAAAACTACACGTTTCAGGTGAGTGTCTTATTTGAACAGTTCAATAGTATATTGGTGAGTAGATGGCTGCGGAACGAGCGCAGCGACAAATGAGTGAATTGTTGCGGAACTTATGGGTGGACCTCTGCGGGAGGAGCGCAGCGAGTTCCGCAGCCATCTTTTCATCAATATGTTGTTTAATTGCGATACTAACCTGATTCACTCAAATGTGAGTTATTTTCATTAGTTTACAAACTGCACGTTTCAGGTGAATGTCTTATTTGAACAGTTCAACAGTATATTGGTGAGTAGAGGGCAAGAAGGCTGCAGAGGTCCACCCATAGGTTCCGCAACAATCCACTTATTTGTACTTGAAAAATTAGTTATTATATAAAGGCAGAATTTGTAAGATTATTCACTTTTTGTCAATTCACCTTTCCACAGGAATTAGTAATGTTACTTTACCAAACTAGTAGTATATTGTGACAAGTTATTCAAGTACAAACGAGTGGATTGTTGCGGAACTTATGGGTGGACCCAGCCATCTATTCACCAATATGTTGTTCAAGTACATTTCTAACCTGATTTACTCAGTTGTGAATTTTTCTCATTAGTTCAAAAACTACACGTTTCAGGCGAGTGTCTTATTCGAACAGTTCAACAATATATTAGTGAGTAGATGGCTGCGGAACTCGCTGCGCTCGTCCCGCAGGGGTCCACCCATAAGTTTCGCACCAATCCACTTATTTGTACTTGAAAAATAACTTATTACATAAAGTCAGAATTTGTGAGATTATCCATTTTTTGTCAATTCGCCTTTCAACAGGTTTTGGGGTTTTACTTGAAATTTTTGAATCCGATGTCGAAAACTTTTTTGTTTTTTAGAAATGTCAAATTTTGACAGATGGTCAGTTTTTTCTCATGAAACACCCTATATATGACTTTATAGTTGAGAAGAGTCGATTTTTCTTATTTCAAATATACAGGGTGTCCCACGAGGTTTTTCCCAAATGATAATTCCGGAACGCATCATCGTATGTTCCACTGTATAATTTTCTGTCATATCCTTTAACAAAATTTTAACAAATATGGCATAGCCGATTTTGTAATTTAATTTTTTAACGAAAAATGTTATAATATACCATGAGTTACATTTAAAATTCGAAGGTTGACGTCACTTGACCGAAATTGAAGCAAAAATGGTGAAATTGGATGCCAATGGTAAAAGCGGCACAAAAAGTTACCTAGATCCTCAAATTTTCAATTATATTGGATGACGCGTTCCGAAGTTATCACCTAGGAAAAACGTCGTGGGACGCCCTGTATATGGTTTAAGTGCTTCTAGTTGAGCCGTTTTGGAAATATCGGGGTCTAAACTTCAACAAAAGAATACATTGAAACTTGAAACACATCCAGCTCTGTTCCAGCCGACATGAGAACTGTTCTAGAACGCTAATTTCCAGTTGCTCAATTTATTTGTCAATTAGGATAAACGTTCAACTTATTGAAATATAGGTGGGCGACTGGAATTTTCCGTTCTGGAACAGTTCTCATGTCGGTTGGAACAGAGCTTATGTGTTTCAATGTAATAATTTCTTGAAGTTTAGACCTCGATATTTCCAAAACGGCTCAATTTAAAGTAGTTAAACCCTATATATTTGAAATCAGAAAATTCGACTCTTTTCAACTGTAAAGTCATATATAGGGTGTTCCATAAAAAAAAAACTGACCATCTGTCAAAATTTGAAATTTTTAAAAAAACAAAAAAAATTTTGACATTGGATTCAAAAATTTCAGGTAAAATCCCAAAACTTTTGTATTTTAAATTTTTTGATACCTTTTCACATAGCCCCTGTAGGAACGGGGTCAATATATGGTGAAAGACCTTGTACATAGAAAACTGTATGATAATTCAAAAACTATACATGGAATTGAATTCATACTAACATGTCATGAGGGGGTAATCAGAAACAGGAAAATACCAGTGGCGTACACTCGATCGACCTAGAAATGAAGAACCATACGAAAATATACAAAACTGTTTGATTATTTTTCAAAGTCTCTTGTTTGTCCATTTGAAGAAATTGTTCTGTATTCTAATGAATGATTTTATCTCATGATGATTCAAAAGATGATATAATATGTATTTATCCTGAAAATCCGTTGTAATAAAAACCTTTATTTATTTTTTCAGAATCTTGTTTGCTGTGCCTCCGACGTCTTAGAAGGAAAAGGACTAGTGCAAGTAGCAGTCACCGTTACAGAACTTTTGAGGTTCCACTCGCCCAGATCACCTTTACACGCAACCTCAATTTCGACTGTAGTTTAAGATTTCTTTTTTTCATCCTTTTTGCCAAGTAGTTAACAATTTTAATTTATAATAATTGTCAAGACAAAAAATAGAAATAGATATTTTTAGTTACAATGAGCTCATTTGCTTCATTGATTTTTATAGTCATGATTCGATTTTTATAGTGGTTTAAGGTGTTTTTTCTTGCTTAAATTGGTTATACCAGGTTGAACCTAATTCAAAACATTACATTTTCGCGTTGAACTATTGACGTCATAACAAAACTGAAAATATTTTTAAACGAGATTTCGCCTCGGTTCAAAAACAAACGCATGCGCAATAGTTTAGGAAAGTTGACAGTTTGCTGTTTATGTTTATATTTGTGTTGTGTTTTTTGTAGCAGGTTATAGAATCATGAACAGAACACAAAAAATAGAAAATAGGCTATCGTTAATTACTAGGAAAAAAAAACAGACAAAAATCCTAGTTTATGTATGGTTAAATTCTTCTGATTTGAAAACCTCATTTTTTCTCGAATGTAAGTAATGACGTAATTTTTAAACAGGTTCAAAACAGATTTCAAAAACATTTCGAACTGCTGGGGTCGAGAAAAAACACTTTTAAACAACAACAAACAATTTTGCAGGTTGTGATTGTAATAAAAATTTTGTGATTTGTGAGTCGCGTCAAACTAGTGATTTCAGCTTGGTAAAAGGTTTATGGCGAAATATTGAAAACCCAATAATCAAAATAATCAAACAATTATTGCTTGAAAGTTAAAATTTTCCGCAATATGATTTTATTTTTTATGAACATGAAACATATCCTGAAAAAAATATTATTGTACAAATAACTTTTAATTTATTTAAATTTATGGAGCCATTTTTATTTAATAATTGTAGGCGAATCGGACTTAATTTAATTGTATCTCACTGGACAATAATGTAATCCAATGAATTTTAATTTATTGCTTAGGATGTAAATGCACAAATCGCTCAATTTTTTTCCAGGCGCGGTTGCTCTATCAAAGAAACCGTGCCTTAGTTTAATTTCAAGAGTAGGTAGTTTTTTTTTTTTTTAAATTTTACTAAAAATAAAAGTGCCAAAGATTACAATTAACAGTAGACTAGAAATTTGCTTAGTTTATTTTTTTTGGAAATCAATTACATAATAAAATGCTTCGTAAAGGCAGTCTGCTCTTCAGTAAGTTAAGTTTTATTGTGGTCATTTAATTTAACATAATTGTAGTTAATAATTAAAATTGACCATGCAAAAGTCATATTATGGGACAAACTTAATATGCAAAGTTTCAAAAATGAATACTTAAACAATAATTATTGTCGATTGTATTTTAAAAGTTGTGATATCAACATTTTGTGTTTGTGATAACATGTAAAAGTTTCTGTCGTACATTTTTGTTGAGCTTCTTTAAGGCTATTCTAGACAAATCCATATTGAATTTGTGAATAGGGACATTTAATTTTTCTTTGCACTATTTTAAAGGAGTCAGCTTTTTGTTATGAGTAATTCATTGACTTTTTGAGATTTTTACTGGAACAAAATAATCTAGGAAAAAAAATCAAATTATTATGATACCTACATTTTGTAAATCTATTATTTTTTTTTTTTTTTGGTGTTCAATAACTATGTTTCAATTTACAGTTTATTAACGAAAAATATGTCTAGTCAATTTCTGAATAATAAAGGTTTTTTACTTATCTGTGTGTTTTTTTTTTAGGTAGTCTCATTTTAATCTCAATTATTGAAATATCTACTGGCGTGAACTTGGTAGCCAAAAGTTAGCAGCCTCACTCCCGGGTTTACCCAAACAATCAGTGGCATTATTTCCCTGGTTTGTTCGAGGTTTTTTTTTAACAATGGTGATTGTATGGTGTGTGCCTTTTTGTAAAAATAATTCCTATTCCCCAGCGGACGTGTCTTTCCATAAGTTTCCATCAAGTCCTACATTTTTCAAAATTTGAATACACAAAGTCAAAAAGGATAGTCGCAAAAGAAAGGGAAATCCATGGCCCATCAACTATACAAAGTAATCCACGTTCAAGTTTAGTTTGCGGAAGCTGTTTGCTTCCAAAATAATCCGCCGCCCTATCCATAGCGAAGTTCTGCGAATGAAGCAGTGACTTCTCCCACATTTTATTTCCAATTTCAAATTGCTCAACACCCAATACACATTGACATTAGAGAATTATTGGACGTGCAATAAGGTCAAGCAGTATTTAAATTAGCCTTATTTTGACATCTATGCATGCGCATTTGGGTCTGAAAATAAGAATTCCCTTAATAAGAGCCGCTTTCCGGTGCAGAGTGCGAAGCTCCTGGAACACTTCACACCTGTCAGTGACCTGTCATTCTCCATGCGTTTTGCACTCGAACGCTTGATACCGAACGGGTCAAACTGTTGCTGGACTTCTGAGTAACTCGGGAGCGCTCAAAAGGTGGCACCCGAAAGCAGCTAAGGTTACTACTTGTCTTTATTTGTGTTTGGTTATTGCGAGACAGTAAACTACCTATATCAAGTTAGCAATACCACATGCACGCCGGAATATGGCGTTAAGTGATTAATTTGTCGCTTTTTTGAAATCAAGTTAGCACTACCAGGGTATTTAAGAAAAACGCGACAAATTTTTTTTTTTTGCACGACAAATTTACGACAAAAAAGCGACAAATTAATCACTTAACGCCATATTCCGGCGTGCATGTGGTATTGCTAACTTGATATAGGTCAGTAAACTTCCCTTATTTCAATATTTCTGACATTTTTAACGACTTTGACGTTTCGCTTTTCGACGATGACGTAATTTTACTTAGAGAATTTCATACATCTGTCAAAACTGGTATTCCAACAATAAATTGACATGTTTTGATTGTTGATTTGAACCAATCAGATTGTAATTACGCGATAATTTGCACTAGTGCAAATTATCAGATAATTGCATACTAACTGATGCGAAAACTGGTGTTTTGACATTTTTTGACAAAAAATTTAAATTTTTGATTTATGAAATTCTCTCATTAAATACAACTCGTGCAATGGAAACATTCGGGCAAATTTCCCAAAAATTATCAATAATTTCCATTGTACTAGTTATATTACTATTGAGAATTTATTTTTTATAATAGTTTTTAATTTTTTTGTGCTGTAGGTAACATCAAAAAATGGGTATCAGCAGATAACGCAAACAAAAATAAATCCTTTTTGAGATTAAAATTTATAAACATAGCTGTCAAAATTATGAATACAAAATAAGGTAATACTCTAACACCTACTACAGCCTTCCAATAACTGATTTTCTTGGGGAAATAGTGCTGATGCACTAATAAAATAACGTAGATCCTTAATACTGCGAGGGGGTATTTGATAGTTCCAATAACTCTCTATTGACAAGCAAGCAAATGTTGGCAGATTTTTATGAAAAAAGGCAAATAGGGTACCTATATATTTTGCATCATATAGATTCAATTAATAGTGATATTGAAAAATGTGCAAGTACCCTATTCTAATATTAATATTGGTCCAAAAACCACCCTCGGACCCATTTCTAAGTCAAGTAAGGTGTCCATGGTGCCTAGGCAGAGTTGTCAATAGGTAGATTTAGTTGTGAAGAAAATGTCGCAAGACACGTAATTCTTTGAAAAACTGATAATTACAGTTTTTCAATTTTTATGTTGTTCCCCTAAAAACCACCCTTCGACCCATTTGCTAGTCAAGTTAGGTGCCCTAAAATGTTCCCATGGTGCCTGGCAACAAATTTCAATACATTTGGCTGTGTAGAAAATGTCGAAAGATAGGTAGGTACGTAATTCTGCGATATATTGATATTTCTGATTTTGTTTTACCACCTAAAACCACCATCGGACACATTTGCAAGTGAAGTAAGGTGCCTTTAAATATGCAATATTTTCTTCAAAACCAAATGCAAGTATTATGGACACTGTGCTTAGGCTCCATGTGCACAGAAGTCTGTCGCTACGAGCTACGACTATAACAAATAACGAAAAATACATAGTTCAGCAATACAACCATTTACCGTAAAACGGGGATACTTTGTGACAGATTTTGAGGTTTTTGTAATTGTCAAACAGTTCTTTGCCACATAAAATTCTAAAAAAAATACACTGATATCGACCAAATTCCGATATTTTCAAATAAAACACCCTATATATTAAAAGCTCATTGGATAGCTCTGTTTTTGCTTATTTCAATGATATAAAGTTCGATAGGTTTATCTCTAACAGTTTTCGAGAAAAAAAAAAATATCTGTTTCGGTCATAAGAAACGATGTGTTAGAAAAGGATTTTATATGACAAGGAGAATGAGGAAGGTCTCTGTCTAACATATTGTTTCTTATGACCGAAACAGATATAATTTTTTTTCTCGAAAACTGTTAGAGATAAACCTATCGAAGTTTATATCATTGAAATCAGCAAAAACAGAGCTATCCAATGAGCTATTAATATATAGGGTGCTTTATTTGAAAATATCGGAATTTGGTCGATATCTCGGAATCGGAGCGATATTGAAAAAAACCGAGTCCGCCACTGGATTGTGCTCAAAAAAGTGTCTCCATAATGTTTTTACAGAAATAAAAAAAATTGATAAATAAAAAACTTATAGCCATTTTTCATAATAGGGGAAAATCGAAAATCACCCTGTATCAATGGTACCATTGAAGATATCGCGATACGGTTTTTGACAATCGACGTTTTTCGAAAATCGATCCCATGACATCTAAGTCAATTTTCCTCTATCTGGTCTGGAAGTATGTTTTTCCTGTCAGAACACTCCAAATTGCAGCACCCTGTATATCAAACGATATAGTATTTATCGCCCTTATATTCAGCCAGAAATTGGGATGTGAATTCCACCAATAGAAAGTCGTCCACATTAGGAGACATGTCGATCTTTTTAGCGTTGTTTTAGGTTGAGCATAAGTTTCTTCCATACTAATTATATCTATGTCACAAAGTTGCCCCGGTAGGTTCCTCCTGTTTTGTTTATTGTTAAAAAAAATGTGTCAAATTAATAAATCGTAAGCGATTTCACGTAGATATCCCGACCAGTACCCAAGCAATTGGAAAGTCTTACGAATTTTTCTCAGCAATGTTCAGTTCCTGATGTACAGTAGAAAGTTTTGGGGGTTTCGGAAAAGTTGCAAAAACGAGATGCTCCCTTCGAATCGGGATGCTAGTTACCAAGGGAGCGTTGGCACGTGGAATTTAAAACGTATTGGCTTAATTAGATTTGAATTTCACAATGTCACAAAGTTTCCCCCTTTGTCACAAAGTATCCCCGCTCCTGCATAATTTAGGAGATAACTTCGGTTCTACTTTGATTGATCCAAAAATGGTTGTGCTAGCTATTGACCAAGCTTCCATGACAGTTTTTATGACCAACCCCCGAAAAATCCCAAACGTTAAGTTAATCCTCCTGCATTTGATCCTTATTTTGTGACAACGAATAGTCGTGCTAGCATTTTTCAAAAATTATGTTAGCCTGTGCTAAGTAGCTCCAAAGAAGCTGTGCTATATATATTGAAAAAATACGGGGTGGGCTATCGTTGATCTGGCCCTCTCGCACTTACTAACATATATTATTGTTACTATGACTGTGCTAGCTCTACAACAGTTGTGCTAGCTCTATCGACCCTGTGCTAGCGTTTTGAAAAAAAAAAAAAATTAATGCGAGAAGGACCAGATGCAGCCTTAACGGAACTGCTTTCCCAAAAAAAATCGTTGAGTACTTGCCTCCGGAACATGAACAAACAAAAATCTTGCTTGAACTCACTACTGTCGGATGGTTATGTTATTTTATTGCCGCGATCCAAAAATACGATGAAACTCTTGCAGGAAGATATTTATTAATGTCACTCTGTCGAAAGAAAAGAATACATTTTATGTTATGCTGGAACATAATTTATATTGGAAGTTTTAATTTGGAGGATCAAAGGAAAATGTTTACGAAATGTCATATAAATGATTGTTTGCTGTCAGTGAATTTGTGGATGCCATTATTTGTATAAATTTTCAGATTTTGATCATCAGTGTTGCAGAACAAAATTATTTTCTTGGCTCACAAAGTCCAGATACCCATTTTTTTTTTTTAAGCTTTCTGGAAGAGAATTTAAACTTGAACACTAGAGTGGGTACATTTATTTTTCCATGGACTCCTAAATATCTAAAGAGCCACTGGAAGAAGACGAAATTTTGCTGCCCAAATCTAAATCCCAAATCGTTAAAACACTTATCACTATAGCATGAAATTCATATTTCTGTGGACTTTTTTCCAGAATAATTCACAGTTGTTAAAATAAGTCTGACATGTATTATTATTATAGAAAGAAAATAAATGTCTGCCTAGACTATACATTATATTTTATTAGATACTTTTTAATTTTGGAACACGCGGTCATGGACCATGTACCAACATTATTATGACTACATTATGACTAAGAAAGCAATTAAATTTTTGAAAACATATGGAGGAGAAATAAAACTGTTTTTTTAGCACGCCAAATACTAAAACACATAAAACAATCAATTTTCGAGTTCATATAACCCAACCGCCTATGAAAATAGATTCGGCTTTTTATTGTTTAACACAAAATCGGACTGGTACAATCATTGCCTATTATAAAACTTATTTTTAGACAAAATTAGTGTACAGTAAAAATAAGAATGATTTCAGGAGATGATTTGTTCGAATAACTGGGAATC